GTCGTAAACCAGTGAGAACGGAGTGGCCCCGGTACTGGACTTCGAGATCGTACGATGTGCCCATAGGACTTTGGGTAGGATTTCCTTCTACTTTCCTTTGGCGTCGGTTACCCTCTTTTTGAGGTTTTGGAGTATGGTTTTGTTGGTCGATTCTGCTTGTCCATTCCCACTAGGGTGATAGGGTGTTGATAGGATCCTTTTGATCTTATGATCTTCGAGAAACTTGCTTACTTTGCTGCCGATAAATTGTTACCCGTTGTCGCACACGATCTCGGACGTCATTCCGGACCGGCATATGATGTGGTCCCAAATGAAATCGATGACTTCCTTCTCCCTGACCTTCTCGTATGACTGGGCTTCCACCCACTTAGAAATATAATCAGTGATAAACAATATAAATTGAGCCTTACTGGGTGCCCATGGAAGGGGACTGACGATATCCATTCCCCACTTCATGAACGGCCATGGTGATAAAATCGAATGCAGAAGCTCCCCGGGTTGATGGATCATCGGATCATGTCTTTGACATTCATCACATTTCTATACGAACTCCTTCATGTCTTTTTCCATATTGATCTAGTAATAGCCGACCTCTGATTTTTTTTGCGAACCAATGATCCGGCGCTCGAGTGGTTTCCGTGGATTTCCCTCATAATGTACTTAGTATCTCCTGGTCCTAGACATATTGCTAGTGTGCCATCGAACGTTCTTCTAAATAGAGTTCCGTCTTTGGACAAGCTAAACCGGGTTGCCTTTGTACGCAGGGCCCTCGATTCTTTTGTATTCGAGGGCAGTTTCTCGGTCTTCAGATATTCTATATATTTGTTTCTCCAGTCCTAAGTTAGGCTTGTCGAGTTTATCTCAGCATGGCCTTCTTCCACTACCGATCTCATGAGTTGCACGACTTCCCCCGAGTTGAACTCGTCGTCCTCGACCGACGATCCTAAGTTAGCAAGGGCTTCGACCTCGATGTTTTGATCCCGAGGTACGTGTTGCAAAGTCCACTCCTTGAACCGATGTACTGTCACATGTAACTTGTCCAGGTACCTTTGCATTCGTTCTTCTCTGACTTCGAATGTCCCATTAACTTGGTTCACCACAAGGAAGGAGTCGCACTTAGTTTCGATCACCTCTGCCCCCAAGCTTTTGGCTAGTTCGAGACCTGCAATCATGGCCTCATATTCGGCCCCGTTGTTAGTCAATTCACAATTCTAATAGATTGTCTAACTACAGTGCCTGTTGGTGGTTTCAATACGATGCCAAGTCCGTACCCTTTTGCGTTCGAGGCGCCGTTCATAAACAGGGTCTCGATCCCCGAGAGTTTACCAACAACTCTCTCTCGACCTCGGTATTAAGGCCGGTGTAATGTCGGCCACAAAATCTGTTTGAGATTTAATGGATGTCCGTGGCCGATATTCAATATCATACCCCCTGATTTCCACGGCCTATTTGGCCAAACGCCCTGAGAGCTCGGGTTTATGCATTATATTTTGCAATGGGTAAGTAGTCACAACACATATAGGATGACACTGAAAATTGGTTTCAGCTTCCTAGAGGCACTTAGCAAAGCGAGCGCTAATTTTTCTAGGTAAGGGTACCTAGTTTCGGCCTCACCTAGAGTCCTGCTAACATAGTAAATTGGAAATTGTGTACCTTGCTCTTCCCGGACCAGGACTCCACTTACCACTATCTCCAATACTACGAAGTACAGGTATAGCTGCTCGTCTGTCTTCGGCGTGTGAAGCAGCGGTGGGCTTGATAGATACCATTTGAGCTCCTCTAAGTCCCATTGGCACTCCGGGTTCCATGAAAAGTTATTCTTCTTTTTCAATAGTGAGAAGAATCGGTGACTCTTATCGGAGGACCACGAGATGAATCACCCTATGGCGGCTATGCGTCAGGTTAATCTTTGCACGGCCTTCACGTTGTCCACAACCGTGATATCATCGATGGCTTTGATCTTGTCGGGGTTGATCTCAATTAGGAGGTAAGTTGTGATACCATATCATAGATCCCTTTGACAGGGTCTCTTTGAATTTCTTCAACAAGACAGACTCAATATCATCATCCTCCAAGTCGTTCCCTTTGATGGCGCACGTGTAGGAGGTAACATGCTCGTTTGGGTCTCGTTCCATTGTACTTAGGAATCTCGGGCATGCGGAATTATTTAGGGATCGGCTCAGAGCCACACTCGTAGGGAAAGGTTTTTGCACGAACTTCTTGGAATCCAGGCCTTTCAGTATCGGTGGCGCTCTCGGGATTTGGTTGACCCTGGAATTGTAGGTTTCTACCTTTTTGTCATTTGCTTCGATTTTCTTCTCCCCTGATTCTATCTGTTTTGTCAGCTCCTCGAGCATTTTTATGATCTCGGGGTTAGTCCCCAACTTGTCTCCATTCGACCTCTCTGCAACCGGTTCATCCCTGCGGGTGATTTTCCGGGACGGATTTGGTTCAATTCTGCTTGGTGCGCGGCTTTGGTTCTGTAACTGATCTATCACCGCCTATTGAGCCTGTAATATTTTGAAGATCATCCGTAAATTGATCCCGTCTTCTCCATTGTTTTGAGTATTTTGCGCTGTCGATCGAGCTCCACCAGGCTATTCTCGGGGTCGGTAGGCAGATTTGTGTCGATAGCCACATGCGAGTTAGCATCCAACGGGTCCGCGATTGGAATTCCGATGGGATCAACGGCGGTAACTCGTTACCGAGCGCTATGTTGTTATTTTCATCGTGATGGCCGGACTCATTTTCAGCATGTAGGGGTGCTGATTGAGAGTTTGACATTTTTGAGTTTAAACCTGAAATTAGAGACACTTCAAAGAACAAGTGTAAAGTAGAGTGTGTTATGAAAATTTATATCAAATAATCACTTTTATCCTTAGCCCCACGGTGGGCGCCAAACTATTTATCCTTAAAATCGGAAAATAATTGAATTTGTAAGTGGTTTTAAGGATACGTGGATTAACTTGACACAAAGCGATAAATTAAGTTGCAATTGAAATAAACAATGATAAAGTAAATTCAAACCACGCGACTTGAGCAGTTACAGTCCTGGAAAGTCAGTCACACTTGAACTGGATGCAATTTGATTGATATCAAGATACAGAAGAACAAAAGCTTAGAGAAAGAAAATAACAATATACTGCTTTGGAATGCATGTTACAATGTGCTTTACAAGTAATCAGACCCCTTTTATATAATAGGGTAACCCTATATTAGGTACAACTCTATAAAAGGTAAAAATTCCCTAATTAACTGATTGTTGATCTCACGTTGGTATACGCCGAGATCTCGGCCGTGATATTTGGTCGCTTACGAATATCACGGCCTTCTGTTGGCCGAGCTTGACAACGTTCTTTGAAGTTGAACAAGGTCAGGACCGATCCATAATCACGACTACGATATCCTCGAGGGCGGACGTTATGGTCCAGACCAGAATGGATAAGATCTCTACCTCGGTCTAGACCCCCTGTTACCATATCTCGAGCTTGACTTATCATGTCGGAGTCCGGAACTTCGAGACCAGTTTTACTCGTATACAGTTTCAAGGGTGAAAATGTCAAGAAGTTCAAAGTGGGGATGCAAGAGAGTCCACGAATCTTGACAAAAGGCTAGCTCTTGATTAATTTAATCTCATTAAATTATAATTCGTGGACCCTAAAAGGCCAGATGGGTATTTTACATTGTTCCAACTTAGGACTGGTGATATCCCTCAAATACACTTTCAGATTTCATTACATGTCCCTTACATTAATTAGCTGGAGAATCTTTCATCAATCAATTACTTAACACAAAATTGAATATATATTCAATCGTCTGACAAGTCAGTGGAATAGAAGCTGAGAAAGGATGGAATAGAAGGAAATGGGATTTTTGGATCCTGAGTAACCATAGCTTCTAATCAATTAAATTAATCGTAAGTCTTAGACAGAGAATTTAACACCTGAATATAATATTGTGCTTTTGCCTTGGAAATTGCTTTTGGTCCGTGTACCAAATAGCTATTCAAACCCTTACTTCATAAAATATAGATACTTATGAAAGTTTGTATTGTCTTGATATACACATTAGTTAGCTCATGCAAAAAATAATCATGGTCTTAAGCTTAATAAAGTCATGAAAAAACCACTTGTATCATAATCCCCAGAAGGGCTTAATATACGATTCTAGAGATTCTTCCTTTTGGACTAAACAAATAACAAACGGGCACAACAAGGCATTCAAGTGAGAAACGAGTCATTCATTTCTAGGTATCCATTTTCTTGACCTTAGGGTTTCTTGATAGGTGTTGCTAATTTCAATGCTAGTACGTATCTCCGATTCATATTATTTGTCTTTTAAGATTTTTGCATATTCTTTAAGAAAGAAATTTAATAGACTTATCAGAATAATATTTTTCTATACATATTCGTCTAAATCGCGATCAATATTTACCGGCATCTGCCTTATATATTTTCACTTAATTAACGCCTATAAAGATATATTTGAAAAAATTATTGGCTCAAGAGAGAGCCTTTAATTTGGACTGTGACAAAAAATTTGTAAGCTTGTATAAGACTCAAACGAGATACTCACGAAAAACAAGTACGTAGGCTTTAAAAGTCACCATAAAAAGTGGCTTATCCTTCGCGGGGGGGGGGGGGGGGGGGGTTCAGACCCGTCTCGGGTAAGCGATAT